CTTCTGTTATCTGGATTAATAACTACCTGGGAGTGTATATTAGTCAGCTAGGAAGTGTTATACGCTTTTCAAGCAAATTGCTGGAGTTATGATTGTATAATTGCCTTGTGCAAAGCCATTGTGACTTGTTTGGTATGCAGTAGTACTGCACAGATTTGAACATCACGATTGAGAAGATTTTCTAGTTTTTTTTTTTTTGTTTAAATCTGTGTATTCTACCATACCAGACATGTCATCGATGTTCAAAATTTTAAACCTACACGTGTTTTTGCCACATGCTTTGAACAAATACTCTTATTTGCCCAACACGAAGCTTGTAGTTCTTGTAAATGTCTGGCATCATGAATATTATCTTATACTCCATGCCAAACATGTACTCCATGTAAATTATCTGGATGCTATTGATTGTTAAAATACTTGTAACTTTAGGTCTTTTATTAGTGTACCTAAGTTAATTTGACCATCACAATATGATTTGTAATACTCTTTTTGAAATTGGTATTCAGGCTTTTTTTGGTACCACTTAAAATTTGGATTAAAAGTCAGTTTTTGACCATTGCACCACTCAACGGCTGAATTTCACAAAAATGGGATACATGTGTGTGAGAAACGGTTTTAAAAAAGGGCTAAAAAATCAATTCTCTTGTTGAAAATCAGTCACAGACAAGATCTCAATGATTTTATATAATTTTCCGAGCGATGAAATTTGTTGATAATCGGATTGAGCTAGTTCAGGTATTAATTCATCCTTTGATGATAAATAAAATTTTACTACCTTTTTTTTAAAACCAAAATTCGTGTTTTAAAATCATAATTTAGTAATTCAATTGTAAGCCGTGTAGAGGAAATCGGACAAATGTTCATCTTTCATGTCCCATTTTGAAAAATGGCCAAGATTTGTTCGTATTGCATCTATGGCCCATTTAAAATATAGGCTTCTTTGCCCCTAAAAGTTAACTGAAATTATATAATCCAATTTATGTATTAATGACGAAAATACTCTCATGATACCCTCCCAAAATTGTCTCCTATAGGTCTTTACTCGAGTGTACGTTTTGAAAGCTACGTTGTCTTCCTTCTTACAGTCAAATTTCATCAAGTCATTTTTTAGATTGGAATTCAGAAATCCTAAATTTGTGAAATAGAAGAGTTGACAGCAGCCGCCGCACAAAAAATAAAGAACCAAAAAGAGATGCGTTTGCCGGGAGTCGAACCCGGGTCTATTGCTTGGAAGGCAATTATCCTAACCGTTGGACTACAAACGCTTGTTGATGGTTTCTTACTTTAATTTATATTTGTTATGAAAAATGTCCTGCGAGACCCGACAAACGAGCTGCCTGATATCTACGTCTCTTCCTCGCTTTTGAGTTAGAATTAGTGTAACTCTGTGGTTTGACTGTGTCTGAATATAATAATAAGAAATTGGTTGAGCGACTCCCGTCTTTCAACTTGTATTATAATTGTCAATGTACAAATGAAAATGTTGATAGTAAGAATCGAATCATCCCATCTAATTATGATCTCCTTCTTCTAACCTCACTAGTATCAATGCTTAAACTTAAAGTAAGAGAGAAAATAGATATTTGAGAGAAAAATATTTGAATTGCACGTCTTTTTTTTCTCTTAGGTGGGGAGGTATTTATAGATTTTCCTCTAATAATTTAAAATAATTTTCTTATTTTGGGATAGGTGATGGTTGGTAGCCTTTTATTAGCCTACTCATAAATAATTCCGTTATCACATTTTGTTTACATTTATGTCATGTCATTTGCCTCGAAATCGCGCATCAAATATTTCTCTTACATTCTAATAATAAGTTCTTTGTTAGCCTCAATGGAGATATGTTTGTCTGTGTTGACGCGAGCCTTTTGAAACTCATTTACAGACGACTTCTACTTCACCAGTATTGGGCGAGTTCGCGAAATATATTTCAACAAAAACTAAAAACGCGTTAGTAGTACAACAATGTCGTGAAATTTGGGGGTTCTTTAAAAAATAACCTAATCAAAGCCCCATAATTCCATTT